CAATGTAAATTTTCAGATTTTTGTGGACGAAACTAGCATCGATACTGGTTCCATTGTGTTGGTATTCTACCTTGATGGGTCGTGCGGGTAACGTCACATTTACATCGATGTATAATTTCACGTCATTGGTTAACACTAGGATATTTATTTTTCCGTTGTAAGTGTCCAGTTGGCCGACGTCCAAATAAATTGATCGCGCCATAGTAATTTTCCCAAACGGTACCTTTAGTTAACTAATCGAAAGAGTGGTTATAACTATCGGCTACTTATTACAAAAATTACTGATCACAGTATATCGATACTAATTTGATATATTGACATCCCCGGGTTTATCATCTATACATAGAACTCTAATACATAACTTATTGTTCTTGAATATCCACCGTTTCACTACGCGAGCACACTTCTAGTTCAACAGATTAGAAGTCAAATAAAAGTTGTTAGGATTTCGAGAATCAATATTATGGATTAAGGTTTTAATCTTTCAAAGTTTAATCATTGAATAAGTCAAGCCCAATCAATAAATTAAGTTTTATAGTCATATTTGAACCATGATTTTACACCAGATGAAAAATTTTCTCCCATAAATTATAACATTTACTATAAAGATTTTTGCTGTGAAAAAGATAATATTATGATAGTGATAACCTTAAGTTTAGTTAAGTTTAAGATACTAGAAGTCAAGTTACCCATGAAACTGGAAATGAACGAATGTATTAAGTTGATTGATTTCTTAAGAGTCAAATATGAAAAATTATCAGAAAATAATGATACAGCCAAGGAAATTGTTATCCAAAACAGGAAGAATCTTAATGATTGAAGAAGCTGCAAGTCAAGCTACATATTTTGAGAATTAATTATTATGAAATTGAATCTATGAGAAGCTGAGTTAATATACAACTGAATCTTGAAGAATTAGGTGTTTCAATTTCGTTAAGAAACGTCTGAAGAATTTTGATGCACTGAATGAATTAGTTAAACATGTTAATTGCGGTCTAGCTGAATGGCTGATAGCTCTATTAAAAACATTATTAATATATTGAGGATCTTGGAATCATTTATTAATTGATTAATGCTGAAGCATAATGTGTCAGTTCAATACTAGAAATAGGGGAGCGTTTCTATTTTTCCGATTATAGATATTTATCACAAATAATTCAAACTAAACAAATGAGAATAATTGAGATGACTTATTATATTTTCACAAATGAAGGCGATTTAGAATGAACTGAATAAGTTCACTGAATTAATTTGCAAACCAAACTCCATTGAAAGAATTTCTGAAGATGCGCAGTTAAGTTATCAAAATATTGAATGGGCTGGTATCATGGAAGATATCAGAACAATGTCATGTTATCTGTCAAGTTCGTAAGAATGGACCTAAAGGCAAAGATAACGAATTAACTAAAACGAAAATATAAAAAGGTTTGTTTGGTCAAGCTTACTCAACCAATTAATAAAGATACTGAAATTTCTAGTTAATATGTTGAAGGTAAAACGTTGAAGAGAATTCTGAAACTAATGAAGGTGAAATAAGTAACCGAATTATAATTGAGATGAATTAGCTATTATTATGACAGCCACAAGTTATAAGTTGCAATGGAATAAATGAACAAATTTTTGCAAGGTAAAGAATTAGAGTTGTTGAGTTCCAAAGTCTTAATTTTGGCACTACTTAGTCAAGCAATTGAGTTGAGAAAGAACGACCAAGTTCGTAATATAATGAATAAGCAAATGAGACTTCGATAAGATTGACTTCGGAACTGATGGCAATAAAATGACATAATGATGTCATGAGGTGCTGTTTCAATTAATATTAGCGATAAATTGGATGAACCTGAAATAATTACAATTATTATGTATGTTAAAGAATTATGCGGAAACAGTGAGAAGCACTTAAAGAGATAATTTTCGGAAAGAAATTAGAATCAAGTCAACCAAGAAACGTTTCGCCAAGATTGAATTCTACTAAAACACAAGATTACATGTTATGTCAAATGAATACTGAAAGAGTTGCAACAGAGTGTATGCTATTGACAGTCCAATAGAGATTGATTTAGTTGAGAATTACGTTTCGTTAATGAATATTGATTTAGGAACTGCATGATTAATCAGATAGAATCTATCAAAGAAACAAGTATGCTATTATAGCAACCAACATAGTGAATTAGAAGATATACATTCTGAAACAAATTGACAATAGTTGAAATTGAAAATCAGCAAAGAAGCTAACGCTATTGATCATTAACATGAGAAGAAATGTGAATGTCTCTTATAAATATATTTTAAATAATACAATTGAAGGTACTGATAAAACAGTTGACAAAACGATGCATCATAAGTTTACTTATATACAAAGAAACTATGTTATTATCATTTAGATGTTTGCAATTAAATGTGCAAAAATGAATTGTACTACAACCAAAATATTCGGAAAATCAGATCAATGTATTGAATCACATTATACCACACATCAGTTATATTGGTTAAGTTCAAGAAATATGGACGATATTCTTATAATTATATTACAATAGTATTAACAAAGGATTACACAGAAATAATCATGTCAGGTCTTACAAACTTAAGAATACTATAGTTATTCATTAATATTTTTGATTATTATACAGAATTGTACAATGTCTCGAGAAATGAGATCAACGAATTAAATAAATTTTGAATGACATCAAGAAAGATAAATGTTCGAGTCAAATTAATATGTCTCATAGATACCAAAAATTGAATGAAGATTTTTAAAATTGAAATTCAGATGAAAATTATCTAATAATAGTCACAATCAATGGCATCATTTTTAAGATCATTCGTTGTCAATATTTCGATTGCTTTGTAAAGAAGAATGATGTATTGAAATTAGACATAAAAGAGTTAAATGAATATCTAATAAAGGCATCAGAAAAGCCAGAATAAGTCAAATTACAATCAATTTTGAATTTTCCCCATACATACCCAAATTTAGATCAAGATTTTGAAATTAAAATTCTTAGGGGCAAATAACCGTAATAAGGATGATAGGGGAGAAGTTGTACAAAAAAGCAACAATGATGAAGGTACCATTGTACCAGAACCAGATATGGCACATAAAAACCATACAGTTGAATTGAAGAAATAGAGTCAGAAAATGATGATTCTTACGAAGATATTATTGTCTCCCAGAATAACGCTAATGTCGTTGAAAACGCTAATGTCGTTAATAACCACGCTAATGTCGTGAGTAGTGCACTGAAGAACAAACATGCTAATGTCATGAAACCAAGGAACAAGAAACATGCTAAAGTCATGAGTTCCAAAATTGGTAAACACGAAAAATTCGTGAAGACTGGGAAGACAAAACACGCAAAAGGTCGTGAGTTCACCGAACAGCAAACATGCAAAAGTCATGAGTTCACCGAACAAGATGGAACAAGAAACATGCAAAAGTCATGAGTTCACCGAACAAGATGGAACAAGAAACATGCAAAAGTCATGAGTTCCGAAATTGCAGAAGTCGTGAAGACAAGAGCAATTGATCTGGGATCTGATGCAAAAGTCGTCAATCTCAATAGTAATGATCAAGAAAACACGCTGGGGAGTTGCGCAAAAGTCGTGTGGCCCAGGAAATCGAGGACGAAGGACGTTAAACATCCTGAATTCTCACATTGGGTAAAGAGAGGAAAATCGTTTCGTGGCAGAAACCATGAAACCGACACAAGATAAGCAAGAACAAGAAAATTGCTGAGGTACAAACAAGTACAAAATTCAAACAAACTGAAGAATCGATTAGAAGATCAAACTTAGAAAGATTAACAGTGCTTCTAAAGAAGTATTACAATTAGTGAATATGTACACAATTCAAATAAAATGGAAAAGAAGATCAAACCGACAAAGACAGTTAGTGAATCTGCATTTATGTGAAGATGAAGATGAAGATGATAATATGGAACCAGAATAATTATTTGTTATATGAATATAGTTATCACCCATGATAGAAAACTAATATGAAATTCAACTCAAATTGAAATCACTTTAAGAACAGTTTATTCAAGATTTAGATACCAGGAGGCGTTGATTTTAAATAAGTAGATGAAATTCTAGTCACTTGGTTAAAGAAAATTACTATTATTTTAGAAGTTAGTTTTTTAGAAAACACGATTTAGAAGTTAAGTCTAATTAGTTAATTGTTGAATTAGGTGATGAGGTTATACCAATACACAATCAAGATTGTTAAGTTGAGCAAATCCAGTTATAGTTTTAAACAAGACTAGTTATGAATGATTTATAATGTTTACAAGAATACTCATTTAGTTTTATTTCCAGAATATAGTCGAACAAGCAATCACTGATATCTACATTGACAATATTTTCATATTTTTCGAAAAGAGGAATCAGTTGAAGATTTCAAAAGCAAACTAGAAGTTGTTTTTAGGGATTTAGGGGAGATACTCTGAATACCTTGGAAAGAAATTTATAAAATTCAACGGGAATATTCAAGAAGTCATAAGGAATTCATATTCAAGATTGTCACAAAACTTTGTTCCCATCATACTAAGAAATCCATAAAATCAATTCTAATAGTTAAAGAGGCTCATAGAACTAAAGATAAGGAATAAATTACTTAGCATTAAAAATTGTCAATAATGATCATTTAAACACGACCAATACACAACAATATTAGAATTAGCATTGCGGTCAGCTATGAATACTAAATCAGATCTATGTTAAGTTTTTTCAATCATTTGCGAACTACAGTTGGTTATCAGATTGTCTCAGATATTTTTGACTATACATTCGATATTAAAATTGATTGCATGATAAAAATTATAAAAGCCATATATCACAAGGTCCAGAACTAAAACATTTCAGATATTATTTATACTCAAGAGGACATTAGATATTATTCCAAAAGAATGATTTACAACTAACAGAATAGTTGAGTTAATACTGACACACAGAAGTGGTTAACAGTCAATACATGTGATAGTCAAACATTTAAGTTGAACTCACCAATGAATGAATCCTCGAATAAAATATGTCATCAAGAAGACAAGACTTTAGGGTCGATCCAATTATTGTCAGATAAGATATTATGGTTGTGATCAAACATTATCCGAATTAATTTTGAAATTATTAGAAGAATCATTTGATATTATTTGTTAATACTTAATGGAACTTTGTCAAAGGAAACGTGAGTTTCTTATCTTAGATTAGTACTAAAGCTAATATTGCTAGTATATCGTTTACACCATTAGATAGATGAGACGTTATTACGTTTAGAAGTCAATTATTTGAAGTAAGTCAGTTACATGAAGGTTTAGAAAAATTAAGCTTTGTGTTGTATGTGTCGGTGGATTCGGTCGAAGCTGTCGAACGAATTATGGGTCACTGGGGGCTACTTTGGGTTACTGAGGGATCATACTGTTGCCGTGGTTTAAGGCTCGAATACAATCTGTCAATGCCTCTCGGTCAGTGACGAGATTAGGGGAGTGTTGGTATTCTACCTTGATGGGTCGTGCGGGTAACGTCACATTTACATCGATGTATAATTTCACGTCATTGGTTAACACTAGGATATTTATTTTTCCGTTGTAAGTGTCCAGTTGGCCGACGTCCAAATAAATTGATCGCGCCATAGTAATTTTCCCAAACGGTACCTTTAGTTAACTAATCGAAAGAGTGGTTATAACTATCGGCTACTTATTACAAAAATTACTGATCACAGTATATCGATACTAATTTGATATATTGACATCCCCGGGTTTATCATCTATACATAGAACTCTAATACATAACTTATTGTTCTTGAATATCCACCGTTTCACTACGCGAGCACACTTCTAGTTCAACACATTGTACTTAGTGATTCAATTCTTGATTTGGGCAGGCTGGTAACTGAATGGGTATCCGCAGTTTGCTTCGACGGTGGTCAATCGGTGCTTCGTGTTAACAATCCAAAAGCTCTACCTCCTATTAATGTGTTTCAATTTGGGCATGGAGATTGTATCGAAGCTATGGTCGACGACCCTGACAGCAAAGGTATAGACTATCATAGTCCAGAATTAACAATAGTTAACGTTGAAAGATTTAAGGCTAAGCGTGCACCTGATATTTATTATGGCTTTAACATTGGTGATGGATACAATAAGGAAAAGTTTCAAGTAGAGTCTATGGGTGATAGACTTCGTGTCTGCTATTACGAACCTGGCAACGCTTCTCCCTGTCCTAAGTCATGTGATTCTGAGATTCCTGATCGTATCCCAGCTCAAGATCCAGTTGTTGTTACTTCAACAATAGAAGAAGGTCCGACTGTCATACTTACCATTACAACAACTGAAGAGCAGTGGACTACCATTACTTTCACCGTCGAACCTTCAGCTGAATCTACGCTTGCGACCACTACTGTGACCACAGCTGAAACCACTAACCACAACTGAAACTTCTGACGTGGTATGTTTAGTTTGATTTTGTTGATGATGCTTTAAGCTCACTAGTTTGTTGAATTTATTTATAGTTTACTCTGATGATTATATAGTGAAATGAATATTTTATGTTTTCAATGGAATATCGATCTCTTCTTATTGCATTCAGTAACACCCGTAGTTCTCAGAAACGCTTATCGCAAAGCAATCTAGCTGTAAATGTTTATTCAGAAGTGTTGTAATACATTTCAGCTAACTATCGACTTGTGAAATTTCTGCATATACTACAGGGGCCTCTGTCTACGAAGATCAATCAAGTGGGTTTAATAATGGCTGCGACTAAAACACATCTGAATTCATGTCCAAAAATGAATTTCTTAGTATGCATCATCAGAAAATGGAGGCGAAACATTCAACTACTTGCTGTTTAACGTGCATGAAGAGTCTACATTAATGTTTTTAATTTATTTGTATTAGCTGTTACTTATTGTATAATGTGGTTAAGGCTATAAGATGGGCCTTGATGCTGTCTTTTATTTTATATAGAATGCGTTTACAACTTGTATGACCATTGTTGATTTTAAAGTAAATGAGGCGGATGATAAGAAATTGACTCTAAACTTAGCTTAATAAAAAAAATAAACGGCCAATCGAATAAGGGAAGTAAATCGGCAGTATCTGTCACATACGCGCTGTATTGGTAATTGAGACGAACAACACTCTCTTTGCAAAACCTCTTTAGTTATTTTGTCTAATTTGAGATCATCGCTAGACATGAAAATGGCTTCATGAAAAAGTTTCCCCAACAGTTATTATGTTACTATGCAACAGGACAATCGGTTAAAATGAGCTACCAATCAATCGCAGATTTAATAGTCCAATGTTTGTAATATTTCTATTATATAAGTATGGTTCGGGGGAAGTTATTATTTTTTAGCTAATTTCCTTGTAGCTCTTTTATATGGTTCAGCCCAAAGAAACGTTTTTGTCTGGATGTTTGTTTGGTCATGTACGAATGGTTGTTTATCAACAAGAAGCGCCGATCATCGCAGAATCGTTATGTCGAAGGAAAGCCAGTAATTATTTTATAAAATATGCCAAACTAGATCAATTATTTTGAAGGATGAGCAAAAGCAATTCAAGATGTTAAAAAATAAAATTCGAGAATCTGGAGATAAGACGATCATGGCCTGTTTTAACAAACATCTATTTCGTAAAACAATAATACAACTATTCTAAAACTGTTCACAATAGCAAAAGTTTTGAGAAATCATACCCTACAATATGTAGACCAATTATTCTGAACATAGATCTAAATACTGTGAGGTTCTAAACTTGAGATGAGCTTCTGTCATCGTTATTTTTTTGTTTCAACACGTCTGTTAAGCAATAATATATAGATTTCTTAAATAATTATTATTATGGTAAGAGAAAATAAAAGTAACGCCGTGTATTATTAGAAAATATTTTTCTAATTAAATTTACTTTTCTTTTACTAGTTTTCTGGAATCTCATACGATTTGGTCATTTTTAAAATTTTTCCTTTTTTTCTGA